CATTTTTTTTTCTAATCCAAAGACAACATCACCAAAAACAAGAAATTGAACAATTTATTGCCATTTAATCATCAAATGCACCTACAAATCGAAATTAACACACAAATTAAAAAGGAAACAACAAAATCAACTATTATTTCTTCAAGAAATGAGGCTAGAATCGGTCCCAAAAGCCCTAACCACCCCTTGATCCTTAATCTCACACAATGTGGGGAGCTATGTAGTTGGAACAACCTAATTGAAGACAAACTCGGGATGTAGCTGAAAGAGCGACTGGGAAGAAATGAAGACAAACAGAAAACAGAATGGAGAAATGAAGAAACTGCGTGCGTTTTTTTTTAATCTGCGAGAGCCTTTAGCGGCGACAATCAGAGCTTTACCGGCGACAATGGTCAATAGCGGCGACAATCTGGATGGAAGGGTACCGCGTCATTTTTCAGCTAACTATTAACGGCGACATTTTTATCTTTTAGCGGCGACACATATGTCACCGGTATTAGGTTAGTGCGGATAAGGGTACCCCAACCGTTGGATTGGATATTTGATCGAACGGCTTAGATGTAACGGAGGGGGAAAACGCGGATTCGGGTGATAACCCTTTAGCGGCGACACTATTACCGGCGACGTATACTTTTAGCGGCGACTCTAGCATTTGTCGCCGCTAAAAGTACACGTCGTCGGTAATAGTGTCGCCGCTAAAGGGTGATATTCTTGTAGTGACAGGAAATGGGTCGATAGTTACCTATGGAATATCGACAACCTCTAGAAAATAAGAATTTTATTACAATATTTGTTAAATTTCGTCCCTATTCAGTGGGTATTTTCTGATTGATTTCCAGTGAGTTCACATTCTGCCACTAAATTATTATTTTTTTATTTTTACAAGTCTGTCGTATTTTCTGACGGAAATTTATAGAAACTAAGAGGCTTCTTCTCTAGTAGTGTTTTAAGCTCCCTTATTAAAAAATCTTGGCTCTCTCATGGCTAAACTATATAAGTTGTGTGCAATTTGTTATGATCATTTCATGTAGTTATTGGGTTTTTCACAATGACGTGGGCAAAAGCTAAAGAAGAAAATGTTACATGCTTGATTGTTAACAATGGGGAGGTAGCTCAAAGTTGCATAATGAAGGGCCATTCTCTTGCTGTCTTGGAGTAGATCAACTTACGTAAACGCAAATGTTATTGTAAGTATTTTATTATCGCAAGCACATGTTGATCAAAGACATGCATGTTATGCGTTAAGAAGATAAGCATCAACCGCCTGCAAATTCTTGGCAACAAGGTCTCCAACCATGCTAGGATGTGGAACCTCATCACTCGCTTTCTCATACTCATAACAACATTTCACAAGGCTTCCTTCTCCCTCAGGAATCACCTCAATAATAGCCTTGAAAGTCTTGTAGAATTGCATCACGTCTCCATCCATCACACTGTATACCACTTTCATATTTGGTTCATCAACTTCTTCTATCTTCTCTTTCATTGGTTTCTTAATTGGCGACCCTATATATTTTGTAGTAATTAAACATGTTACATATGAACACCAAGAAGGGTTAGGGAATTTACTCCTGAATTATATTGTTCATACCTTCAGCAAAGTGAATCACACGGACAGTTCCCACGCTCTGTCCATCGCCTTCAAGAACTTCAACGTTTTTGTAGAGACCAGAGCAAACTTTAGGAAAGATGGTCGCAGAGTTCATAATGCTATTCCAGAACTTATCTGCGGTAGATTGCACCTTCACTTCAACATCAAGCTTCCCTATGGTTGCCATAGCAGAATAAGATATCAGTTTTGTCAGAGTCAAAGTTAAAGGTCAGATGTCAAACAAGATTTGAGGTTGAAATAGGAAGATTAGTGAGAAGTTCATTGAAGGTATGCAAAATACCCATATTTTGGCTTGGTTATATAGTGCGATAATGGGGTTAAAATGTTAAATGCAAGGTATAAAGTTGGATAAAGGGTAGCTGTTAAATTGCATCAAGTATGGCGGCAATTTATGGGATAAAGTACCCATATTCTTGTTTTTTGCTTCATAGTATCATAGTTAACAAGTAGAGACAACAATTCCTTAAAGACCGCCATCACACGACCACAGTTATCTTTATCTTTTGAGAAATTAAATATTCTTTCATTTTTTTTTTCTTAATTTTATCGAATTTTGTATATATATTTATTAAACGTCTAAATATTGTATTTGTTCGGCCTAAATTCAAAATATCATGTACTTTTTAATTTATTTTTTTAATAGTTTTTAGTATTTAATAATCATTTTCTATATATTAAAATCGTTAAAATTGAAAGAAAACAAAATAGACCTTTTGCCCTTTCTTCTAAAATAAATGCAGGAAACCCTTTCTATATATTAAAATCTTCTTTGTAGGTTTCTTTCTTCCTATTCTGGAAGGATTATATGAAGAATTAATTGAAGAATGTGCCTAGAAACAAGACTTACTTTCGTTTGTAATTAGGAGATGGGCTAAAGCTATAAACACACTACCATCTTTCGATTTTAATGATTTTAAAATACAACAAAAAAGATACTAAAACTATTAAAAAATATATTTAGACAAATACGATATTTTAAATAAGAAAAAAGACAAATATGATATTTATAATTTAGATTGGACAAATAAGATATTTAGACTTTTAATAAGAGCATTTCCGAAATTCTTCTTTATTAAAATATGATAATTGTGATTATTTCATATGGATAGAAAAATAAATAGAAAGAAAATATAGAAAAATATTTAATTTCTCTTAGTTTTATATATTTGTAATTTTATTTTTATAAAGTTCAATCGATATTTTTTTTAAACGGAAAATCTAACATACTCTTAAACTACTCCTTAAATCCACCTATGTTCAGAACAGAACTTAAACCCTCAACCTCAAGAGAGGAAGACAACACCGGATACCGCTGAACTAGAAGTTTTTTGGTTAATAGTCCTACTTCATAGGGCGTGTTTGCAATCTAGTGTTTGGAAGTTTTTATCACTCCAAGCACAAGTTGGAAAAAAAGTTTTGTTCAACAATAGGAGCTTCTAGCTTATAGCTAAAACATTCTAAATCCAAAATCTACATAAAGTAGGTTTAGGGGGTGCTTGGGATAGCTTCTTTGAAATGATAAGAGTTTTTAACTTATTAGTTTATTTGTAACACCCGATGGTTCTAAGGTAATATTTATTTAATTGTCTAAATGAGTTAAGTTGTATTGGGCTTAGTGGATTGGGCCTTTTATGTGTGGGCTTAGTCGAGGCCGTACGTTGGGCGTAAGCCTGGTGTACGTGGGGCGTAGATGGATCATATGGAACGTTGAGGCATGCACGTACGCGTTGCGTACAAGGTGGTACGCGCAGCGTACGTGATCAGACTCAAAACCCTAATTTTAAGGGTTCAAGTCGTATATAATATCATTAAGTCCCAAGTGTTAGCCTCCTTATCAGCCTCTATTGTCCAGAAACCTTAATATCGAACCCTATAGCATCTTGGTGTGTTCTTGACCTTGTGGAGTGTATTTTTGGTAGTTTGGTGCCTAGGAAGGAAAAAGAAGAAGTTGGTGAAGAAGAGTTGTTGGAGATTGAGCTTGAAGATTCGGGTTATCATCATCTTTTGGCACTCATTAGGGGTATAAAGCTCAGAACTTGTTATGTTATAGCTTAGATCTCCCTTGTTTAATTTTTTGGGACCCTTTTGGTCCCATAGATGAGATCTTGTGGATTATTCTCATTTTTGAAGCTTAAAGTTTCTACTCTTGGTGTTCTTTTGGTCCTAGAGTCATAAAGTTGCCATCTTTGAAGCTTAGAACCATCCATGCATGACTTTGAGTTCATTTTATGGAAGTATAGTGTTGTATTTCGGGTTTGGGTTTATTTGGGGCATGCAAAGCCACCAAGTTAATGACTTTATGGTTTAAGATGTTGCATATGAGTCAGATCTGTGATTGGGACCCTTAGACTTAAGTAATTAAGAGCTTAATGGAGAAATGGCTTAATGGGTGAGTACGTTGGGTGTAAAAGCTCCTACGCGCAACGTACGAGCCATGCAGCATGTACGCTTAGCGTATTGTTGAGTATGCCCCGCGTACTCAGTGATTGGGCGTTACATCTTTTGGGATTCGGTTGGGCTACATCTTTGGACATTGCTCTTTTTGGGCCTTAATAGGCCATCTGAAATCGAGCCTTTGGACTAAGGAAGTTTATTGGGCCTAGGGGTAAGGCCAATATTTTGGGTTTGGGGCTAATTTGGAAAATTGGGCCATAAATGGGCCTTTGAGGAGAAAGTGGTTTTGGGCCTTGGTCATGGATCATATTAGGTCAGGGGTAAAATGGTCATTTTCCCCTAAGAACGGATTATTGAATATAGAATGGAACCCAAGTGTTAATTGGGTGTTATTGTGTACTGTTAGCTCGAGGAGTCGTCAGGGCATCAGCTAGGGATTTATTTCAGTGAGACTCAGCATTCGAGGTGAGTTTCCTTATTGGATTTAGAGGGTCTAAGGCACCAAATCCGACCCTTGATTGGTTATGTTGATATACTTGTTGTTTGTGTGATACTTGTATGTGCTTGTATATGTATTTTTATTGGGCGGGGCCTGTTATACGAGTATGGGTGGGGCTCATATCTCATTAAGCAGGGGCCATTTTACGAGTGTAGGTGGGGCCCATATCTCATTGGGCCGGGCCCGTTATGCGAGTGTGGGCGGGTCCCATATATCATTGGGCGGGGCCTGTTATATGATATGTATGGTATGCGGTATCTTGGGGAACTCACTAAGCTTTGTGCTTACGGTTTTAGTTTATGTATCAGGTACTTCCGATTCTAAGGGGACGAGTTCGGGTTGAGTGCATCGCACACACCATATGGATTCTATTTATGGGACATACTCTGATTTTTATGATGTTGACATACTTATTTTATTGAGTTGTATGAACAATGTTTTGGAATACTGTTTTTACTTCAATAAAAAATGAAATTTTTGGGTCATGTTTTAAGGATGTTTCAAGTTGGTATCAAAACCTTGGTTTGAGGGATTCAGACACACTCACGGGTGAGGATTTGGTAAGAGTTTTCAAAAAGAAAAAACATAATAAATTCTTAGAAAGAATTTTCTAAAATATGGAAAGGTGTGGTTCATGCAATCAGTCGAGCTCAAGCAAGTTATCCCAAAATGCCCATACATGTTTTATGATATCCTTTGAATTGTGAATCTATGGATCGCATGCTAGATTAAGTCTAAGGATCTAGGAGAGATGCCTTTGTATTCTTGTTGTATGAGCTTGTAGACTTGCATGCTAGTACTGATCAGTCAGTAATAGGATGGCATGATTAGTTTATGCTTGGTTCTGATTACTTGATGCTTGAATGCTGCTTGCTTTGTGCTTTTAGGAGTTCTAACTAGCTTCAGCTAACTAGTTAGCGAATATGATAAGCTACATATGGGAGCTAGATAATTTTAGAATGTTAGGTTTTAACCCTATTACGAAGCTCTTGTTTGAGTCCAACCGTTGTAGTGTGAGACCTCTCATTCAAAGAATTATCTGGTTTTTGTAATATGTCATTGTATTCGTGAGCTAGTTAGAGGAAGTTAGCGGGAGTTCCTTCTGCAGTTGATGGTGGAGAGTGCTGTGGAGTTGACCTAGGAAAACCTAGGATGAGATCTAGTGTTGGGAGCCTTATCTATAAAGGAATTGTTGGATATAAAGCAACTTGGTTGAGTTAAGGCACTTCTTGAGTAAAGTACGGATAGATGTGGAAGGTAGTATGGGCCCGTACTACTGGAAGAAGAGGATTCGTACTCGATCTAAAGAGGACTGCGATGAACCCAGGGGGCTTATGGAGTTGTGATTGCCCGATGTGTATATTTTGATGCGTATTCTGATGGTTTATATGGTCTATTTTCAGTATGGTCGTATTGTGAGGGATACCAGTTGGCAGTTCCGGTGTTAGGGAGGGCTCGGGCTCAGTTTCTAGAGCCGGGCAGCTTGATGACTAGACGAGGGAGTTCATCTCGTCTAAGATTATGCGCAGTATCCTTGAGCAGACTCCTGTGATCTTTGGCACGGTCAAGGAGTGTATTCTGGAGATTCTTAATGAGCGGTTGAGTGCCTTTCGTGTTGAGATTGTGGCTTTGGTCGGGACACGTTCTCTGACTTTTAGGGAGTTTCGGGCATGTGGAGCACCAGATTATCACGGGGCGAGGGACCACATTGTGAGCAGCAGGTGGTTAGAAAATGTTGCTAACGCCTTTCGTACCAGCCGTTGTCCCAATGGGGACAAGATGAGACTAGCTTCCTGCCTTCTGAAATATAGGGCACGTGATTGGTGGGAGGAGGTATGGCGTGTTGTGGGTGATGACGTCGTTGATTTGATGACTTGGGGTGATTTCACGACCAGGTTCCGAGCTAAGTTTGCACCGGTGATTGAGGTGCAACAGTTGGCGCGAGAGTTCCAGGATCTCCACCAGACTACTGAGACGGTGGCTGAGATCACCGCTATGTTCAGGGAGAGGTCACTCATGGTTCCGCAGTATGTGGTGGATGAGGAGATAAAGAAAGCCCGGTACCATGAGATGCTAAGGAGTGACATTCGGTAGTTTGTTAGCTGATCCAGTTGCAAGACGTTAGAAGACATGACAGCGAGGGCTAGAGAGAGGGAGATTGATCTGGAGATGGAGAAGAAGAGGAAGCTCGATGAGGTTCAGGTATCAGTAGGTTCGGGCAAAAGGTCCAAGGTTGTGGATACGAGGGGGGAGGGCCAACAGGGCCGAGGCCG